TGCCACAAGCCCCTGATCAGGGTTCAGTTAAAAGTATATTTTTGTGTGTATGTTTTGTCTTATGTGGCCGTGTCTCATGCACAACTTGTTCAGCCTCCAAACATTCAAAGGAGCAGCATTGTACCTGGAAGCAGTCAGTGGACATCCCCAGTTCCCTACGTCTTGGATGAAGGCCTGGGTATTTTTCTTTCTTTCATAAAAGAAATTTATTTGAACCAAATTTTTGGGTTTGATATTTTAGTGGATGTGTGATTCAAGGAAGTTCTTGTAGTTGACAACGTTCACTGTTGAAAACTGGATCTGCAACTCAGCAAATATCAATATAACAGAATCCTTTTTCAAATGATTTGTGCGATGGAAAACTGCAAAGGCAAATGAGTTGAATGAAAATATTTTTGTGTTCCTGTTTTTTTCTAATGAATATTATTGTGATTTGATTCTAAGAACAATAAGCAAAAGTAATGTTATGTCATTTGTTCTCTATTTCACTGCTTTGAAATTGACTTTGAACTGAAAGACTTGAGAGCTAAAGGAGTCATCATGAGAGCCTTTGACCAGTTCAGAGTCAAGTCATGCATCGATTTCAAACCCTGGGACTCTGAAGATTATTACATCAACATCAAAAAGGCAGATGGGTAAGTTCCCTGTTTTCTTATTTTCTTACTTTGAAAAATATTTGCTGATTGAAAAACCCTAGTCACGCAGCTGATTTACGTGAATGCAAAAGCTCTAAGACCCGCCTCCTGGCTCTGATTGGTTGTTCTGGTTAGCAACGGGTGAGGGCAGAAGAGCTTGATTTTTTTTTTCATATCAGTCTCACGACATGGTTTGTCACAGTTTTTTTGTGTTGAATTATTAGTGTATAAACAATGTATAATGTTTTTATCACAACAGAAATCACTTTCACAGTACATGTAGTGGTGCTTATTTGAAAGATTTTGATGCACGTGTCTTACTGGTGTTTTTTTATGTTCTAGATGTTTGTCATATATTGGTCGAGTATTTGCCAATGGCCAGGACCTCTCTATTGGTGCAGGCTGTGATACCATTGCCACTGTTGAACATGAGATTCTTCATGCCCTTGGTTTCTACCATGAACAGTCTAGATATGACAGAGATGACTATGTACGGATTGTATTCGCCAACATCCAAACAGGTAGAACTGATATTATAAGATTCATTTATATGGAAAAAGTCATTTTAATTATAGCTTTGTCTTTTTTTCATTTTCAAAATGTAATAAGTACAAAGTACATCAACCAGTTAGTGATTCTGAACCAAAAGTTCATTTTCCAGTGAATAAATATTTACTGTTGAACAAGTGCAGTGTTTAGCAAAGCAAGAAAACCTGTCAAGGTACATTCAAGAACTAAAAATCCTGCTCACCTTCAGAAAAGAACCACCATGTAGTGAATGGATATGTTGCAACTGCCGTTCATGTATCAGAACACAGTTGCATACGACTGAGATGTTTTTTAAATAAATTCCATAATATGAAAAAACATAACTTGCATAAAGCAGCAATTTAACAAATAGTTCTTTTTACCCCATAAAGCAAAGAGTTTTCTGTAAGAGCAAGTTGTCTCGTAAAGAGAGCAGATTATCAGAAAAGCTTTCTTTCTGGAAATAAGTACAATTAGTCAATATGTAAATATGTGTGAAAAGTTTTATTCAAAATACAAAGATTTTGTGTCATATAAGAGTGAGTCCTGAATATTATTTTTCAAGGCTGAAAAGATATCATGTGTCTCTATAGATTTTGTATTCGTTTTAATGACATCACTGCTCAGCAATTGATGCCCAACATGGTTTCAATGAAGTGTTACCAAATAAACGCTAACTTAATTAGGAGACTCTTGACTTATAATAATAATAATGATCAACTTAAACCTGAAAAGTGTCAGAAAAACAAAATTCACTGAAGAAATCCCTGAGGGGTTCAATACCTCTTACAGCTCTGTAGATGTCTATGCACTCTTTTCAGACATGTCCTCAGATTTTATTTTAATAATTTTGTTCTATATTTCCAATATTTTTATGATAGTTGTAGGTTTAGAAATTTACAAGAGTTTAAAAGCAATATGAAAAGATTACTGACCTCTTTTGGACATTATAACCAGTATCCTTGAAAGTGCTGAAAAGGCATGTATTATAAAAAATTTCTCATTGCAATGTTTTTTTTTTTTTCACTCTATTGTGTTTGTAGTTAAAAAAACTGGATGTTGCCAGCTATGTTCAGCTTTTCCCAATGGTTAATGAGTTATGCTGAGTAAAATTTTTCTCACTCTTACTATGTTTTTAAGTGCAACATCTTTTGTGTCTCCCAGGTAAAGAGAGTAATTTCAGGAAAGTTGAAAGTGGTGTAAGCACCTCCCATGGAGTCCCGTATGACTACACCTCTGTGATGCACTACGGCAAGGACGCATTCAACAATGGAAATGGCAATCGCTCAACAATTATTACCATAGACCCTAAATACCAAGATGTGATTGGTCAAAGGCTCGACATGAGTCCTAGTGATGCTCTGGAGCTGAACCTCCTCTACAACTGCAGTGAGTCCATATAGATTGTTGGAGAAATTGTTGAGATCACCAAAACTGGTGTATTTACAATCTATCACATACAGCTGAAGGTATTAATTTTACCATCAGAGTTGAAGTTTTCCGCATATGTTTATTGTAGCTTTCAGCTGATGATTTCTTTTACAGTTCAGAGTAAAACAGTAACAACTGCCATGATGAAAAGTGTAAAGAGTAACTTCAAAATACTGTATCAAAATCAAAACTTAACACATACATGTAAACCCTTTCACTGTTTCAGACACAACTATTGCCTCCAAATTTTACTGTGGCTTTTCTAATGGATCGATGTGTCAGATGAGCCGCTGTTCAGGGTTTGGGAGTGGATGGGAAGTGGTTACCCAAGCTCCAGGGGGTCCAAGCTCTGACCACACCACTCTACCAAGTGGAAGTGAAGATTATGGTGAGTTTTGGAATTAACTTTATGTTCAATGCATAATAATGAAAACAAATTCAATATAAATTCAGATAATAAAAATGTAATCTCTTGGCAGTTGTCATAGACTGAGTAAAAATATCAAACCTTTTTCCTCAGAGGGGTTAGGTGATGGTTAAGTGTAGAAACAAACATGCTACGTATGTCCTATGTCCTTGTTTTATGCAGCAAGTGCTGAAGTTGTGCAAATGCCTTAAATTGTCTGTAAGCTACATGTAAATAAAATGGAGAATACACCAGAAAACTTTATTTTGGACATTTTTGCAGGTCAACAAACAGAGTACTTCATTGGTTATAACATGCATAAGTAACTTTTACCTTGTGCAAATGCATGGAGTTGTATGTTATTATATTGTAGATGAAGGAAATCTACCAGAAACTTTATCTTGAACAACATTTTGCAGGTCAACAAACAGGGTACTTCATCCACGCAAGCACAGCATCAGGACAAGAAGGAGATTCAGCACGACTGGAAACGGAGGTAGTGAAGCCGACCAGGGCATGTAATGTCCAGTGTCTGCAGTTCTACTATTTCCACAGTGGAAATGAGGCAGATGAACTTAATATCTGGATCAAAGAATTTGAAAACAATCGGGACACCACAGGAACTCTCCGCCTTATGGGACAAATTACTGGTAAAACTTATAAATATCTGTAACTTTTCACTTTTGTATGATGTCATATTAAAATTGTATAGCATAGTAAATTAAAACCTCTCACTCCAGGTTCACCAACATCTCACTGGAAGATCCACCATGTTTCCTTGAATGCCACCAAGGACTTCCAGGTGGTGTTTGAGGTCCGGAAAGGAGCAGGAATCTCCACAGGAGGTTTCTCCATTGATGACATCAATCTCTCAGAGACAGAGTGTCCACACTTTGTCTGGCAGATTGATGACTTGGAGAATCTTTTAAACACAAGCAGCTCTGGAACCCAAATATACAGCAAACGACAATTCTCCAAAGACGGCTATGCTTACCGAGTAGCCACTATTCTTTATAAAACATATATTGGAATGTATGTGCAACTCTTGTCTAGTCAGAATGATGACCAGCTGCAATATCCTTGTCTGCAAAGACATATGATTTTCCAGTTGCTGGATCAAACCCCGAACAAGCAATTGCAAATGTCTAAGGAATCTACTTTAGTTTCTGATAAAACTCAAGTACGACCTGGTAAGTTTGTCATATAGTGTTGATATTTTGAAGAAAAGTTGTTGGTAACAAAAACAAACCAAATAAAAACAAATGTGTTTTCTCATGTAACAGGAACAAATACCTCAATCTGGGACAATCCTAGGGAGACTGGAATTGCATTGTTTTATGACAAAAGAGAATTAGTCTATGGTGGTAGGGTTCTCTGGGGGTCCAATCCTTTTACAACGTTACAAGAATTGCAATCCAGAGAGTTTCTCAAGGGAGGAAGTGCCATTTTCATGTTCAACTTTGAAGGTGGGTTTAATATTCTGATCATAATCATATATTGTTAATGTTGCAAGAACTTGCTTTCTCTACAGCATTCTTGGAAAGGAATGTTGTAGAGAAAAAGGATCAAAGAAACATCAGTCTTGGAAATATATTTTTACACACAGAGAACATAAGGGAAACATTTATTTTAGATGTAAAAACAATACAGTAATAATATTGTAGGTTATTTAGTTTTTATACACTTTAATAAAATGTTGTCACATGAACGTCGCCATGTTGTTCACACTGCAATGCATTCTGGATAAATGACGTGTAATGGCCCAACTGCCTGCATCATCCAGCCAAAACAGTGATGATTAACGATATTAAGCCTTTTCAATTTGAACCGAAGCGTTTTGAAATCGATCGGAATGTAGAAATCACAAGAGGTGATGAAGGTGAGGAGGACCAAACAGAAGATAAGGACAGAATTGGCTGCAGAAGCTGGTATTTTGCTGCTGATGCCTTTGGCTTCATAAATGAAACGATGAACGACATACCCCCGGTCGGACTGTGTGATCCAGTAAGTAGCGATAAGCAGATGCCTCATTGCGTGTTTGGCACATTTCCCGAACTGTGTTGACACTGGGTTGCTGGATTCAAAAAGTCATTGCAGGTAAATACATGTTCAACTTATTGTGGACCCTTTCAAAAGAAGGTGAAAGGACAGTGTAAAGTTCCTAATTCAAAAGCATTACTTCAATTGTCCAGAGGTGATAAAATAACCATTTACAATTTAACTTCAAAATGCAACATTTTGCTTTTTGCATCTGCAGAATTTGTATTTTGCCATCCACAAGACTACCTAGTCAACCTAATTGGTCGACAATGTCGACATTCTCGATGCATTTCTTTTTTCTAACTGACATTTTTGTCGTTTGATAGATCTCACCCCACTAATCAATGGAACAACGCTACCATGTCCTCAGTTAAGACCAGTGAGCATGGCAAATCCTCCACAAAATCTGAATGAAAGTCAATGCACTGCAAGGTAAACTTTTTGACAAATGATAATTTAATACTAACAAATTTGCATTCCTTCACAAAGCTGTAAAAGAAAATGTTTTGGAACTACAATCAGATTTTAGAGTTTTTGTTGAATAGTCCTCTGACTTTTACAGAGTATCTCCACGCATCAGTCCACCTTTTACAAGCCAGGAAAACAGGTATTAATTATACTTTATTTTTTCTAATGTATATAAACTGTAAAAATTATGTATTCTCTTTTTCTGTTATTTGTGGTGTATATGTTGTTACATTATTCAATCTGTTTATTTATTATGATACTGATTCACAACAGAAGTCATTTCAAGGCTGTTTACAGAAAGAAGATATCACCTTCTTCTCATATTCATTTTTTTGATATCTTTTATAGAATCTTTTCTACCATCAGTCAAACTCCTAGTATCTCACATTTATTGATACATTTTCTTCAAACACAAAGTATTGCTGTCCTTTATTTAGCTATTCAAACAATGTTAATTTTTATGCTTTGATGAACACACAATAATAGTACGAACCGAATGCACAGCTTACCTATGAGGGGCCGTTTAGGACAAAATTTACGTTTTGTCTCTCACACACTACCAAAAACTCTCACACACTCAAAAAAAATACGTTT